TCAGCAGGTGTGAGCCTGGTCAGTACCTGGATGGGAGACTCCTGGGAAAAACTAAGGTTGCTGCTGGAAGAGGTGTTAGTGGAGCCAGCAGGGGGCGCTCAACCTGCAGTCTGTGTGGGTCCTAATGCCCCAGTATAACTACACAAAGGCGCCATCCTTTGGATAAGATGTGAAACCAAGGTCCTGACTCTCTGTGGTCATTAAAAATCCCAGGGTGTTTCTCGAAAAGAGTAGGGGTGCCGCCCCGACATCCCAGCCAGATAACCCCCTGGTCTTTACCAGTCATGGCCTCCTAATGATCCCCCTCTCTGAACTGGCCTCATCACTCTGCTCTCCTCCGCACTGAGAGCTGGTGTGTGGGGAGAGGACTGGAGCATCATCCAGGTGGGGCTGCACACTGGTGGGGGTGGAGGGGATCCCCATGACCTGTAAAGAGCTGAGTGGAGAGTCCAGAAAATATATACAGTAAGGATAAGGACTTTTCTTCTTGTTCTTCATTATTGTTATAGTTATAAAGAAATGTCTGGCTGTTTTGTTGCCACAGAATTTTAAATATTAAGGAGTATTTAGTCTCGGGCTGGGGGGGAAGAATTTAAGGTTCGCTGCGAACAGGGGTGCTTTTCTGGCCCGCGAGCCGCGCGAGATGTTGACGTCTCTTTATCCCTTCCTTGCAGAAGAACCCGCGGGCGATCCGGTCGGCGGAGGAGAAGCGTGGGGCGGAGCACCTGGCCATGAACGTGGCGGTCAACCTCAGCCAGGCGGGGCAGCTCAGCGCGCACATCCGCAACGTCTGCGCCGAGGCCCGCGGGGCCGTGTACTCCCGCGAGGCCGACGTGCGCCACTGGCTGGACCGAGGTGGGTGGCGGCGGGGTTAGGGAACGAGGCCGTTCCGGAGAGCGGCCGCACTCTGAATCCCGGTGTTTTCCAGGGCTGTGTAGTCATAAATAATTCCTTACACTTCCAAAACCGTTTTCTGGACACTGTTAAAAAATACACTGATAAAACACTATTGGTATTATTGATGTCATTATTAATACTAGTAATAATAAGTATTTAATAATAATCCTTACATTTATATAG